CCCCACAGGCCCTGAGGCCGGACCCTCGCCCCACAGCAGCAGGGGTAGCCCCGTACCTGAGCTCGGGCTCTGGCAGGGCCCCCAGCTCCTCCACCCGGGCACGGACGGGCAGATGACTCTAGGATCTGGGCTCTGGCCTCTCTCCTGCCTTTATGGCGTCTGGGCCTGTGGGGCTGCTGGCAGGACAGGAGAAGCGCGGGGGACGCCAACTCTCTCCCAGCCTCGCCCTGACCAGGCCCTCTCTAATTAGTGACATCAAAGGGGCATACCGCCTGGCTCACATGGCCTCGTTAAGGCCTAACCAACATGCCCAGGCCAAGCCAGGCCTTCCCCAGGCCAGGGTGTGGGCACTGAGAGAGGCCTGGGGGTGTTTTCCTGGAGACCAGAGGTGCCCTAGACCGGGGCTGACCAGGGCTGTGCTGTGTTACATACAGAGCCTGGCGCGGCCTAGATTCTGGGGACCCATACAGTGCTCAATTGCCCTCCAAACACCCCCAATTCCACCCCCCCCTTGGCTCAGTTTCCCCTCCCTCTGCACCTCTTCCAATGGGAGTCTAATAAAAATGTCCCTTTAATGAGACTGCCCCTTTCATTCAAATTAAATTAGGAAGGTGTCTTCAAAGCTCAGCCTCTTGGTGCCATCTAGTGGCGCGTGGTGGTACTGCACCTCCTCGGCCCTTTAGGGAGAGGGTTAAAGACCCTTTTTTGAGGGAAAAGCAGGCAGTTTCAGGTCCCAGAAAGATGCCAGGCTTTTTTCTACCTGCTGCTAAATCATTCAGGGGTCCTTGAAGGAGGACTGAATTGTTTTTGGTAGGGAATGAAGAAGTAGGAAGAATAGATTGGCAATAAATACAGAATATTAATCATATGAATAATATGAATTAATGAATATTAAGCCTAAGATTGTATTTTAATATGATATATTAAATGATATATTAATAAGATATGTTAAATGAGCCAGGGCCAGCTGTGAAAGAGTTAATGTATCAATCAATGAAACGGGACACTGAATTTGGAAACAACTATTACTTACTATTCCTTCGGCAATGAGCCGGTGATTCAAGTCTTCAGCGCTATTGATTACATTGGAAATGGAAAATTAAATATTGAACGAGCTGTAAGGTGTTCAGAGTGGTTACAATCGAAATGTAACATTAGATCTGCAAGACCACTTCAGGACTCTCCTATGGAGTAATTTGATATCTCTCAGACAGGATCCTGTCATTCAATATTGAACGTTATATTTCTAATGCAATCTAATTAATAAACGTTATTTAAGATACATGTATCTTATTAAAATAATAAGATCATAATTATATTATAAAAATAGTATAATATAATACATAATAATAAGATTAATAAGGATATCATAATATCTTATTAATATAGGCTAAGGCATCTTATTAATATAAGAGAATAGGATAATAATGATCTTATATTATAAGACTGGTATAATATAATAATTAATATGAGGTAATAATAAAATTAATAAAGATATAATAGTGTCTAATTAATATAGGCTATTTAAGACAGAAATCTTGTTTCTATAATAAGATAATTATCTTATTATAAGAGAATGATTAACACAAGATAATATTAATAAAGATATAAGAGATAAAATTAATATAGGCTATTTAATGCATACATATCTTAATATAAGATAATTATCTTATAATAATATAAGACAATAATTAACACAAGATACTAATAAGAATAATAAAGATATTATTATAATTATATTATATTATGTGTGTGTGAATGAGTTAATATTTACTAGCAAAATATTTATTTCAAAATTCAGGGTCAGATCTTCAATTAAATTTAAATTGACATTTCATTCAATACTTAATTTTCAATTTTCAATTAGATTTAATTAACAGGTATTTTAAAAGAATATCACAGCTGAATAACTGAATATTGAAGAGTAATATGTATTTGCAAATTAAATGTCAAATCTATTAGATGTAATGACTCTATACTATTTAATTATTTAATATCTACCTTCTAATATGCTCCCAGTTCATTCTCTATTTAATTTTCAATTTTCAGTTTGATATGTATTATTTAAAGATTTAATACCAAAAAAAGTATACCTGCAAGTATTATTTAATGATGAAGTAATTATATTAAGAATGATGATAATAATGATAATAATAATGATTAGTAGTAGGTAATAATAGCAGTACAGTAATACTAGCACTAATACCATTATTGCTACTACTTTTTTTTAGTAGTAAGTAATATTGGTATTATTAGTGCTATTATTACTGTAGTGTTATTAGTATTAGTAGTAGTAGTAGTAGTAGTGTTATTAGTAGTAGTATTATTAGCATTATTATTGTTGTTGTTATTACTATTATTACTATTTAGTAGTATTTTTATTATTATTAATGCTAGTAGTAGTAGTGGTGGTGTTAGCACTATTAGCAGTAGTATTATTAGTGTTATTATTTGTAGGAATGGTGTTATTATTAGCATTATTTTTAGTATTAGTGTTATTAGCATTATTATTAGTGTTTGATATTATTACAATTATTATTACTACTAGTAGTAGTATTTACAGAATTAATCATTTGCAGTATTTAGTATTACTATCATTACTATTATAATTACTAGTAGTAGTAGTATTTATAGTATACTGAATTAATCACGTGTCTTTATTATGATGTAATCACAATATAATTAAATCCAATGTGGTAATTATATAAGAATTTGGTGCAATAATTCAATATTGAATATTAATATTTATTTCAAAATTAAATGCCAGATCTATTCGATGTCACAAGCAGAGAGTATTTAATTATTTAATACCCACCTCTGAACAAGCTCACAGTTCATTCACTATTTAATGTTCAGTTTTCAGTTCATGACGCCTCATTTGAGGAATTGTTCAATCCTGGCTCTTAATATTGATTTCCCAATGCAAGGCCCACTCATTCACAAGCGGGAACGAACACAGAGGATTTAACTAATTAATCTCTCATTCTGATGAACTCGTTTTTTATCCAAAGCTGTGAATAGCCCCTAAAAAATAGTCTCCTTTTTTTTGGCCTTTTTGTTCCATTTTTTATCTTCCCCCACCCCCCTTAAACAAACAAACAAAATGGATCTTTAACAAATCCATTAAATTACCCATAAAATTAGGGTCATTCCCTGCCCCCCCCCCGAGTCAAAACCAGTCAATGGATTGAAATACAGGTGTCAAATTGGGTTCAAATACTGTTATTTAGGGGGTTTGAGGGTTTTTCTTTTTAAGCAAGTGCCTTGAGGTTTGAAGCATCCAGCCAAGATTGGTCCTGTGCCAGGTGCTGTGCGACCCCCCCTGGGCAGATCTGGGCCCTGCCCCAGCCAGGACTGGGGCTGTGCCAGGCGCGGTACAAACCCCCACCCTAAGCAGAGCCAGGCCCTGCTGTACATAGCCCCAGCCACCTCCCCCCAGTGCTTGGGGAGGGAAACTGAGGCAGTGATGCGCCGATGAGGTCACAAAGGGCCAGGCCCCAGGGCTGTCCCAGACCCCACCCGCACGCACAACCTGTGTCCTCTCGCACTCAGCTCCCGGACCATGGTAGGAGGCCGGGCTGGGCTGTGGGGGCTGCCTCAGTGACCCCCAACCCCAGCATGTGTGAGCCCAAAGGGGAATGGGGGGGTAGGGTGCAAGGGGTGGAGTCAGGGCTTGGGGGGGGGTCAGGGGTCACGAGGTCAAGGGGTCCACGTCAAAGGGTGGGGGGAGGGGTTACAGTTGGGGTTATATGGGGTGCAGATGGGGGTCACAGCTTCAGAGGGGGGGTGGGATCATGGGATGGGGTCAGAGGTCACATTTAGGGTCAGAAGCATTGAGGTCCCGGGGGAGTGGGGTCACAATTGGGGGTCATGAAGCCTGGGGAGGGAACCAACTAGGGTCAGGGTGAGGGTCAGAGGGTGTGAGGGAACAGGGGTCAAAGGTCACGCGGCGGATCAGGCTCTGAAGTCCTGGTCAGGGTCAGGATCTAGGGTCACAATTGGGGGTCATGGGTTGGGACTCGAGGTCATGAGGTCACACCTGGGGTCAGGGTTAGGGTCAAGGATAAGACCGTGAGGCCATGGGGGGGTCACACTTGAGGTCATCATTGGGAAGGGGGGGTCACACACAGGGTCAAGGATCAAGGGTCAGGCTCTGAGCTCCCACATACCCCTTCTCTCCCCGCCCCAGTGCCAGCCCCTGGACCCTGCCGAGAGCCTCTCACCCCCCTGGCCCTCGGCCTCTAGCTTCCTGGTGGCCGAGGGCCCCGATCCAGGCCCTCCGGCCCCCCACGGCCCCCCCCGGAGCCTGGAGGAGCTGCTGGCCAGCTGGGACCTGGGGGGGGCCCGTGACGCCGAGCCCCTCCGTGCCCCCCGGTGCCGGGCCCGGCGGGGGGCCCGGGGGGGGGGGGGGGGGACTCCCGCCACTGCTGGCCCACTGAGCAGCCCTTGCAAAGCCAGCAGGCCAAGGCACTTAAGGGAGCC